GGGGGGGGGGAGAAACTCTTTGGACATGAAAGCAGCTGGATACAGAAAATTGGGCACAAGTGAGAATATGCCCTCCCAACGGCCGTTACAGCCCTCAGCAAACACGGCTGTACGGGGGAAAAAAGAAGCAAAAATAGCAACAACTCGTTGGACATAAAAGCAGCTGGACACAGAATCTTGAGTACATGTGAGAGTGCCCCTTCTTTTTTTATTTTTTATTTTTTTTTTTAAGAGTGCCCCGTTGGTTTCAAGTGTCAGCTGTCCATGGGAAGCGTCCTCCCTCGTTGGCAGGGCACTAAAACTAACTTCGAAAAAAAAAAAAAAAAAAAAAAAAAAAAAAAACGAAATTATCCATGATTCTGGGCAGATGCATTCCTGGGGCCACTCCTGTGAGCACATCTCCTTCGTGGCTTTCCCCGACGTCCTTCCTTTCAACTCTGCACTTTCTTTTTTTTTCTTTTTTTTTCTCCGATCGGCCCCACAAGGCCCAAATGTTTTGTTTTTGCCAACCCTCGCCCGGACCCCCGAACTTTGCGGTTGAGGTCATTTTCCCTAATGGGACTACAGCTTGGAAAGGTAGTGGTGGTTTAAGATCGCGCGACGATACAGGCCGTCCGGCAGGGTGCACAGCCTTTTTTTTGCTTAAAAAAAAAAAAAAAAAGGGCCGCAGTGTTGAGATATATCCACAGGTGAGCGCCCCCGGGTAATTTGAGATTGTTATGGAAGTTATTATTGTAGATTATATGTCATGATCATGACTTATTGAGCCTCCTTATTGGGCTTATGTTGTGACAGGTATGTTGAGAGTTTTTTTAAGCCTCTGGAAATATCGTGAAATTGAGGGTCTCAACCCTGATAAGCATGGTAATTATGAATGTCAGCTATGATGATTCTGACCGAGCTCTCAACCTGAGAGCTCTTTTCTTGGATGTGTATTGGGTGTCCCGACCGGCCGCAGCAGGACCTGAGCAGCCACTCCACTTGGCCCGGTGCTGCCGGATTGCAACGGGTTACAGGGCGGCACAACTCGCTCGAGCGCAGTGTTGACTTGCCGTGGCCACCAATCCTTCTCAGGCCACTGAAAGTGACGGCAACGGGAATCATTGTGCGATCTTAAAGTCTTAAGATCGTGGGATGATCCGAGCCATCGGCCCGGTAGGACCGCGGGTGGCCTGGATCGTCGGGCCTGTTGAAAAGAGGGCCCGTCGTGAAGGAACGGCCCGGGCAACTGCTGTCCATTCCCCGTTGCAGGGCAGGCGGGGCTATGGCCCTGCTTGCATCGAACAGCCCGTGACTTAGCGCCCTCGCTAGAGTCCGACGGCCCGTGGCTTCGTGTGTGCTGTGTTGCAAGGTTTTGCTTGAAGGCCCCTCTGAGGTGACTCTGTATCCGCCCACCTCCCCTGTCTCCACCCACCTCCCCTCTGTGTCCACCCACCTCCCCTCTGCCTCCCCCCGCAATCTCCTCTCTCTTCTTACTCCCCCCACCTCTGCCACTTCTCCTCCGCCTCGGTCTCCGCCACCTCCCATCCGCCGCCTCCCGCCATCTCCTTCCGCCATCTGTCCCACCAACTCCACTCTGCCTCTGCCTCCCTATCCCCTGTGTGTGTGTGTGATGATGTGTGTGAACACATATTGCGGAAGCCTCTGCACAGTAAAAACCATGCACCATACCATCGCAACACTTCAGGAGGAGAATACGCATCTGACTGGAGTCGAGTCCAAAGGCAAGGAAACGGACAACAACGAAACACATGAGCGACAGACACCAAGACAACACATAGGCTGGAGGGCATGGGGGAGGAGGGAGGGCAGACAACACACAAGCAACAGACACGGCAGGCACCAAAAAGAAAACAAGGGCTGGAGGGCACAAGGGATATAGGACGGCAGACAACAACACGCACACAAAGCAGGCAAATCAGAAAAAAAATGAAGTCTATAAAAGTTTCAAGGACCGAAAAGAATAAAAACTGATGATGAAAGATTGTTTCGTCGGAGTTGCACCGACTCATCAGGAGGCTGAACCCTCAACAATCTGCAGGAATCTCCGGATTAGATGGTTTGGGTAACCCTTTGACCCTGGTTGAAGGCAGACTGTCCCCAAGCGGGACATAGCAACGGGCGGCGACCCTGTGGAGCACCAGGCAGCACAGTAGAGGCAACACGGCTGCACAACGCCAAAAACGACTGCAAGGAAAGACATGGCACACAGCGCGGAAACACGGAAGGCACGGCCAGTGGATGGGCAGCACGGCAGCGGAGCAGCGAAGCGCAAGGCAACACCGACAACACAGCCACACCACACAGCGAACACAACAACTTGCAGAGAACCACATGCAAAGCAAGCGGGACAGGCAGCAAGGCGGCGGTGGTGCCCAGGCGAGGCAGTCCACACATCCAACACGGAGCAAAGCAGCACATCACCTACTCACATCACGGGTGAACCCCACAGACTGTTGGTTCCCACCACCCACTGAGCCAGGGAAACACCCCGACAAGCATCCGTCATCACCTACGGGCAACACAGACATCCCGAACTGAGCGGCCCCCATAAGAGTGCAGTAGGCACTCCAAACGAGGAACCACTGACTGTTTGGCACCACTTAAGGGTGCTCAGTTTGGGCAAGCAAAAACACTTAGAAAAAAATCAGGGGGAGGACAGACAACAACAGGAAAGCAGACAAACATATAACTGATTGTGTGTGTGTGTGTGTGTGTGTGTGTGTGTGTGTGTGTGTGTGTGTGAGAGAGAGAGAGAGAGAGGGAGAGAGAGAGAGAGAGCCCGCAGCCTGCGCCACTAGCTCCGGTCTCGGCCTCTGCTTGCCCTTTGCCCACTTCCCGTTCCGCCGCCGCACACCTCTGCCCACCTTCCCTCTGTCTTTGCCCACCTCCCGTACGCCTCCCCCCGCCATCTCCTCTCTTTTTCGTCCCCCGCCTCCGCCTCCGCCTCCCTATCCCCTGTGTGTGTGTGTGTGTGTGTGTGTGTGTGTGAGAGAGAGAGAGAGAGAGAGCCCGCAGCCTGCGCCACTGCCTCCAGCCCCGGCGTCTGCCCACCTCCGCTCGGCCTTCTCCCACTTCCAGTTAAGCCTCCGCCCACCTCTGCCCGCCTTCGCCTGCCCACCTCCCCTCCGTCTCCGCTCACCTCCCGTCTGCCTCCCCCTGCCAGCTCCTCTCTCTCTTTCCTCCCCCGCCTCCGCCACTTCTCCTCCACCTCCATCATCTCCCTTCCGCCTCCTCCCACCATCGCCTCTGGGCCTTCGCCACATCCCGTCCGCCTCCTCCCGTTATTCTTCTCCACCTCCACCACCTCCCATCCGCCTCCTCCTGCCATCTCCTCCCACCATCTCCTCCCTCCATCTCCTCCCGCCATCTCCTCTCCGCTTTCACCACCTCCTATCCGCCTCCTCACGCCATCTCCTCTCTGCCTCCACATACTTCTCCTCCACATTTGCTCACCTCCGCTCTGGCCTCCGTTCCGCTGCCCACACATCCTCCATCCCTTTGCCCGCCTTTAAAAAGAAAAACAAAAACAACGGTGTGCGCCCACCTCCCCTCGGCCAGAGCCGACCTTCTGTCTGCCTCCGCCTCCGCCCACCTCCCTCCCGCCATTGGGATCGTCAATCTCCCCTCAGCCTTCGCCCACCTCCCGTCCGCCTCCTCCTGCCATCTCCTCTCCACCTCCGCCACCTCCCGTCGGCCTCCTCCCGCCATCTCCTCCCGCCATAGCCTCTCCGCCTCCGCCACCTCCCGTCAGCCTCCTCCTGCCATCTCCTCTCCGCCTCCGCCCACTTTTCCTCCACCTTCGCTCACCTTCGCTCTGGCCTCCGCTCCACTGCCCGTACATCCGCCATCCCTCTACCCTTTCCTCCACCTTCGCTCACCTCCGCCTCCTCCCGCCATCACCTCCCGCCAAATCCTTTCTGCCTCCGCCACCTCCCGTCCGCCTCCTCCCGCCATCTCCTCTCCGCCTCCGCCCACTTTTCCTCCACCTTCGCTCACCTCCGCTTTGGCCTCCGCTCCACTGCCCGTACATCCGCCATCCCTTTGCCCTTTCCTCCACCTTCGCTCACCTCCGCCTCCTCCCGCCATCACCTCCCGCCAAATCGTTTCTGCCTCCGCCACCTCCCGTCCGCCTCCTCCTGCCATCTCCTCTCCGCCTTCGCCCACTTTTCCTCCACCTTTGCTCACCTCCGCTCTGGCCTCCGTTCCGCTGCCCGCACATCCGCCATCCCTCTGCCCTTTCCTCCACGTTCGCTCACCTCCGCTCTGGCCTCCGTTCCACTGCCCGCACATCCACTATCCCTCTGCCCGCCTTTTAAAAGAAAAACAGAAAAAAACGGTGCGCGCCCACCTTCCCTCAGGCAGCTCCAACCTTCTGTCCGCCTCCGCCCACCTCCCTCCCGTGATTGGGATCGCCAATCTCCCCTCAGCCTCCGCCCGCCTCCCGTCTGCCTCCTCCTGCCATGTCCTCTCTCTCTTTCCTCTCCGCCTCCGCCACTTCTGCTCCACCTCCGCTCACCTCTGCTCTGTTTTCCGTTCCTCTGCCTGCACATCCGCCATCCCGCTGGACATCCCATTGCCCGCCCCCTTTTTCTTTGTTTTTCTTTTTTTTTTCTTTTTTTTTCTTTTTTAACAGTGCGCGTCCACCTCCCCTCGGCCTCGGACGACCTCCTATCAGCCTCCGCCCACCTCCCTTCTACCATTGGGATCTCCCATGTCCCCTTGCCCTTCGCCCACCTCGCGTCCGCCTCCTCCCGCCATCCGGTGCTCATCCCTCTGTGCGCGCCAACCTCCCCTCGGCCTCCGCCGACCTCCTGTCCGCCTCTGTCCGCCTCTGTCCGCCTCTCCTCCGCCCACTACCTCTGCCCATCTTCTCTCCGCTCGACAAAGCAACTCCTTGGAGAGAGAGAGAGAGAGAGAGAGAGAGAGAGAGAGATGTTTTCATTGTTTTTGTTTTTCCCCTCCATACAGAGAGAGAGAGAGAGAGAGAGAGAGAGAGAGAGAGAGAGAGAGAGAGAGGTATCTGTTTTCGTTTTTTTCTTTCTTCTTCCCCCTCCATTCGTTGTGTGTGTGTGGGAGGGAGGGAGAGAGAGAGAGAGAGAGAGAGAGGGAG